GATAGTTGCCCAGATACAGCTCAGAGAGCGCGACTGAGCCAGGATAGTGAGGAGAAATAAAGTTGCTTGTTAGGAATTCAGGAAGATAAACGGTGACAGTGGTTGGAGGTGGTGGGTGCCCGATGCGACACTGGAGGCATGGATTAAGGCTAGGATAGAGCAGGGGAAGAAGGGTGCTAGTCAAGAGTTCGAAGCAAGAACTGCAGATTGCAGTAAAGAGGAAAATAAACCAACACGGCACGACAAAGAATTGAATTTGTGAATAAAAGGAAAAAAGCAAAATCAAAGAATTGGAGCCTGTAACTAAAAGCAAAAGCAAGCAAAAACTGAGCTTATGGGAGTAGGACTTGTCTTACAAAAACACGTCTTCAGTAAGCGGCTCATTTATGAGGTTTATGCTTAGGCGAAGCTGAGGGCAAATAAGTCCGATTGGATTACACAAGAACTGCAGACGATTTCACAGTGTTGCCTCCTGCAGCCTGCAGCTGTGCACAGCAGTTATACCTTTGTTTTTTTGTCTTCAAAATCTCACAGAAGCAAAGGCTGACTTCATCCCCAGGCATCCATTCTATCCTGTTTTTGGCCACTTCATGAAACTTATTCGCTCTCAGCTTTACCCAAGCATCAGTTTCATAAATAGGAAAGTCTGATGACGGGTTTTTTTGGAACAGCTTTACCTAAGCATCGGTTTCATAAATGGGAAAGCCTAATGGCGGGCTTTTGTGGGACAGCTTTACCTAAGAATCAGTTTCATAAATAGAGAAGCCAAATGGCGGGCTTTTGTGGGACAGCTTTACCTAAGAATCAGTTTCATAAATAGAGAAGCCAAATGGCGGGCTTTTGTGGAACAGCCTTACCTAAGGATTAGTTTCATAAAAAAGGAAGTCTCAGAAGCAAACTTCCTCATAATTTCCGTTCTTCACCGCTCCCCTCCTTTCTCCAAACGTACGTTACTTTTCAATCGGCAAAGGATCTACGCTATTTAATCCTTATATCCACCTATCCTAGCCCTCCTTCCCTACCTCGAACGAAACTCGCCACATACCATTCCCACTTTCACCTGGACATTCAAACTGCCGTCATCCGCCGTGGGGCAGCCCTACCTGCCGTCGGGAGAAAAAATTTTTTGCGGCTTGTGTATGAGACTAGCCGAGTAACTGCCGAATAGTCAGTCCCGCAGACGGGTGAATTGTTGACAGCTACTAAAAGTCAGCTTGGCGAGCTGTGGAAACCCAGGCTGAATGAACCAGGCGTGCCGGTGCGATCATGCATTTTTGCACTAAACTTGCAGACCGCTAATAGTAGGAATGATCCCTGCGCCGTAGCCTAACAATTGGGCCATACTGGCGGCGCTCTGGCCTCTTTCGGTACGCAGGAGAAAGGGTGTCGTCTGGGATGAAGGCATTGCTTTATAAGGCCGTATGAGCCTCCAGGTACATGACTGTCAGTTTTTTGCACGAAGCCTGGTTGTTTTTTCGATAAATGCTCGCTTTTTGAAAAAATTCAAATTTCCAATTCACTAAAAAATGAAAATATTGCTAGAGAGATCGTTCGTCGGAAAATCCACGTATGCAGATGAGCTGAATGTTCATTTAAATATTTGGATGAGGGCGGTCGTTCGCTGCAAAACGCACTCGTTTTTGATTTTTCAGTAAAGTTGAATATTTCTTGTAACCACCTGCAGGGAATTTCATTTCCCAGTAGAATTAAGACAGCACTTGAAAGTAGAGTGCCCCAGTGAAGTTTCAGCCTTGCACTTTATCCGGTAAGCGAAACAG